GGTAAATGAATTTTTTTTTTAAAAAAAATGCTGTGGTTAGCTGCGTGCATGATTTCACGTGCAAATCTTATGAACATTCTGTCCTAATGATTAATCCTCTTTATATATTTGGGTAGTTAAGCTGGAAAAAAAAGGCTGTTCAGACAAACATGGCTGACAACGAAAAATCTGCACTTTACTTGTGTATACACACTTTATCTTGTATTTTATTTGTATGATGACAATATATTTTTGTACAATCAAAGGTTAGTCGAGGATAAGTTTATAATATTTGATCGAATTATTCGTGTAATATATATGGTGACATTGCATTTGAGTAATATCGTTGTGACATTTTGAAATAATCATTTGTGTTTAATCCTTAATGTTTTTCGTAAATTACACAATCTCCTCTAAGAGATTTTATTTTTTACTTGTAGAAATGAGAAATTTGCACAATTGGTTCATCACTTGTTCTCAAGGTAATAAGTTTTTAGATTTTTCGTGAAAATAAACATTTGTTTGAATGAATGAGTATTGAGGTTCCATCCGCTAACTTCACGGATAATTATATTACCCTCAAGAAATAAGACCACGTCATTCTTTACGAACTTCTAAACATACTTCTAGCAATTTTTCCTATGTGGACGTGCAATTTAAAATAAAATATGAGAAACTTTTTGTTAAGAGATATAATTTCACATCGAATAAAGATGTAAATGTAAATCAACTTATAAAAGATTGTGTTACTCCTTTTAATAAGGTTTTTACTGGAGCATGTTAAGGGATAGAATCTCACATCGAATAAAGATGAAAACATAGGCCAATTTATAAGAATTTGGACTATTCCTCTTAATAAGGTTTACATTTTAAGATGGAACTCCAATTCTTAACACTTTTTTCTGACATGAAACGATATTTTCAAAACATGACAACAAAAGACATCATCAGTATATAATCTCTGAATCGAATAATACTAGTCAAATTAAAAGTTCATTTATAACAGAAAACTATTTCAAAATGATAAAAAAAAAAAAAAAAGTACGCAAATTTCTCTCTCTCTCTCTCTCTCTCTCTACACAAAAATTAAAGTAAAATGTAAGATCTCAACCTCAGCGTGGAGAGTTCGATTTTTGGAAGGCACATTATGTGAAAGACATGAATTGTGGAAAGCAGTGATGAAGGCTCTCTTGAGTCTAGGAGTTAAAGCCATGCAGGAATTTGAGAGCAAATAAGGACATAACCCGCGATTTACTTCCTCGAGCTGTTGAGGGGCTGATGATTAGAGGTCCAGGATATAGTCTGGCTAAACTGGGATACCTGAGTATAAAAAAAAAAAAATGTAAGATCTCAGACAAGATATCTTTTTTGTCAGATAGGATCCAAAATGGACCCAATTGAAAATTACTCATCAAAGATTGGATTGGAAAGCGACTGAAACTTCCCTCTATCTGTTCTTTAAAATTTATTTCATCATGAAAATTCAAAACCAAACAAAAAGAAAAGGCAAAATCTAATTTGAATACCAAAGAAAAAGCCAAACAGATTACATGAAAAGGACCTTATATTTGATTATCAATTTCTTTATCTTATCTTTGAAATTATAGGGGGAAAAAAAAACTCGGGGTTGATCGTCAACTATTCTTTTTACTATTAAAAACTACTATCGAGAGTGACACCGTAATAACGATTAACATTTAATGTATGGTATAAATATAAAATACTTCTCATATTCATAATATTAACGGGTGAGTATTTAGATTTGCACATTTTTACCATATAGAAATTACGATTGAAAGTGACACCACAATATTGAGCAAAATTCAATGTATGATGTAAATATAAAAACAATTCTTCAAATTACGGGTGAGCATTGAGATAGCATAGAGACAAAAATTCTTTTTACTATAAAAAATTATGAACGAGAGTCACGCCATAATAAAGATTAATATTCAACTATGGTGCAAATATAAAATATTCTCATATACTTCAAATTAATGTTTAGATTAGCATGGAGAGAAATATTTTACGATCGAAAGTGACACCACAATATGAGCAAAATTCAATAGACACTTCGTATTTTAGAATCGACGGGTGAGTATTTAGATTAGTATAGAGACAAATAAAAGTAAGAAAAGACAAACTATTGTAAATAATTATTTTCTTTTACCATTTTCAAGATTGAATTCTAGATCTTTGTATGAATATGAAAAAACGTTTATCTATATTAAATTCTATTATCACCCATTCATTTAAAGATAATAGTATGAGGGCTCTACGGACTCAAACGTACCAAGTGGCATAGACGGGGTGGGTCACCTAAACTGTGTTTGTAACCCCACTGAAGATGAATAACATTACTCTTTTGGAATTTTTGGCAAGTAAGAGCAAATATGTCAAGGTTACTGAAGTCTATCCATTATTGAGAGAATGTGTGGTTAAAAATGAATTTGAAAAATAATAAATTTTAAAGAATGAGGCTCAAACAGAGTGCGTATCAGGGCACAAAAACTTTATTTTGGACCTTTGACAAGAGGCTTAAAGATCTTCTTTAGCACGCAATTGGAAGCTCTTTGGTGCTTCCCTTAAGTCTAGCGCAACGATAGATGTGATGGATGAGTTTATGACCCTTCAACTGCTTAAGATTTTGGGACATCGTCCATCTAAGACTACTTGTACTTTGGAGGCCATTTGTTGCCCCCATTAGCAAGGTTGGTTTAAAGTTAACACGGATGGGGCGAATTTTGATAATCCGATCTTGCTGTCTGTGGAGGAATATTTTGCGGTTGTAGAGACTTTTTTTCGGGTGGTTTTGCTATCTTCTTATTGTTTGTTATGCTTTCAAGGTTGAGTTAGCTGATGTCGTTCATGCAATTGATTACACTTCGATCTTTCATTTCAAGAGGTTGTGGTCGGAGAGTGATTTTGCGTATTTAGTGGTCATTTTGCATTCGAAGCCCGGGAGAGTTCCATGGCAACAAAGTTCGAAAAATAATTTTTTTGAATTTTTATTTGCAAGTGCAGCCAAACTCATAGCAATAGGCTGCGATTGATGTTGAAATAATGCAGAAAATTAATGAGGAATATTATAATATAATAGATTGATAGGGTAATGTTGATTGACTTTTTAAATCATGATTAATGGCACTTAATATAGATCTAATAATTTGCCATTGTTGCAATAATAGACATATTTAAGATCTTCAGCTGAATTATTGATTATATACATTTTGTCATTTAAACCTACAAAAGAAGAGAATTCAACAATTTATATCTTCATGTGAGTAATATTTTGAAAATTATATTTGAAAAAAAAAAGGTGATGATGACGAGTATATAAAATGGATGTAGACAATAACCGACGTGATCAAATTGAATAGGGTTAAGATAAAAAATGACGATATATGTTGAAATGACGCTAATTGAAGATAGAATGATAACTTAATATGTATTTGAATACGTTCCAAAATAAACTCACGTTCACAAGAATGATAGAATCACGGGAGAAATAATTAAAAATTCATTTAGAACAATAAGCACGTAAAATATTGATTTGTGGGGTGGGTTTTTTTTTTAAAAATACTATTTTCAAGGAAAAATTCCCCTTGAATCTGACAAATCTAATCGACCCTGATCAGTTTTTGTCGATTTATTTATCTTGAAGGTTTGACTTTGATTTGAGATTTCACTCATCTCGAACTGTCTATTCAATATCTGATTAGATCCCAACTTGATCAGTGTCCACCCCTAATGTCTCATACGTCTTTATGAGAATAAAAAGTGACATTATTCGTCTAAAACTTAATTCCATTAACCAAACCTGAGTTAAAGTTCTGATCGTGTTAATAATATATATACTTCCAACAGTACAAATTGAAAGAGGAGATAAATATCAAATTTAACATGGACGAATGTTGCCTAAATTTTATACCATTGCCAGTTCAGGGCATTTGAAACTTACCTAGTACGAGAAAAAAAGCCAAAAAACATCTGCCCACAAAATTCAAGAAATTAATTTTAATCCGAAAATAAGAAAAAGAAAAATACATTTTCATATTCATGCAGCTTTTTGCTCCAACAGACTTAAAAGTGTCACTTAGGTGACTAGTCAGTGTATTCAAAAGAGCACCTCACACCCACCCACCCAACCCTCGTAACATCTATTTATATTTCCGCATTTTCACATTCTCATTCAACTTATCCTAAACTCAAAAGTAAATATGTTATTCTTCTTTCACTGCTTTCTTATGTTATGATTATATCATGGAACAGTGTTTCTTGAATGCACGATAAAAATTCTAAAAACCCTTTTTTATGCAGGAAAATGGCTAGAATTGGAATTGTTTTTGCTGGTTTTCTTGCAATGGCGTCATCTGTCCATGGTTATGGAGGGTGGATTAATGCTCATGCCACCTTCTATGGTGGTAGTGATGCCTCTGGAACAATGGGTACGTTTAGTCGTGCTTAAAAGCTGCTTTTTTAAAGTTCTTTTTTGGATGTACTTTTCAACTTCAAATTGGGTTGGGACTTGGCAGGTGGAGCTTGTGGTTATGGAAATCTGTACAGCCAAGGGTATGGTACAAACACTGCAGCTCTGAGTACAGCTCTGTTCAACAATGGGCTGAGCTGTGGATCATGCTACGAAATGAAGTGTGTGAATGATGGGAAATGGTGTTTGCCAGGGTCCATTGTGGTCACGGCCACCAATTTCTGCCCACCAAATAATGCCCTCCCAAATAATGCAGGAGGGTGGTGCAACCCTCCCCTGCACCACTTTGATCTCTCTCAGCCTGTCTTCCAGCACATTGCACAATACAGAGCTGGAATTGTCCCTGTTGCTTACAGAAGGTATGTTTAACCAGTCCCTTAAATATAATATTGAACTGCATAGAGTCTAGTCGTACTTTACAACCTTTTTTCGAGCGTGTAAAAAACCTTATAATCTCTTTCGTAATGGTGAGAAACCGACAAATAGACGGACGGTTTAAGCGTGAACCACTATAAATCTATGTGTTCTTTTGTTTATTATTATCTTGAATTTAGGGAAGCCAACCTATATTGTGGGCCCAACAGAAGGTAAAAAATTCCCTAAAACCTAGACAGGTTAAATTCTGTTTGTGGTCTTATGCTGATAGACAGTTTTTGTCTCTCAAGTTAATACGACCCCTCAACATTTCTGCTTATGGTCCCCCAACTTTGTGTATTAATAACATTTACTGCAAAAATTTCTTGTTAGTGACTTAGTTTGTTGGGCTATATAGAGTCTAGTTATACTTATTTCCTCAAATGCGTACTTATAGGTATATCTTGAGTTCAAGGGTATAAAAGGTATTCCATGTATCAGATTATCGTGATTTTTAGAGACTGGTTTGGTAGTGCAAGCAAGGTGTTAGTGAAACCTGATAGTAGCGAGTTGATTAGCTCTCACTTTGAAGATCAACTACTATAAACCTGTGTGTTTGCTCATTTTGTAATGGGGATTACCAGATAAGGGATTGATTCATAGCATATTTTAGGTGTAGTCACTCCTTTTAATGTCCAATTAGAACATATCTCAACTCTTCTTTAGGAAACTTACTGTCTTCACTTGAATTTGCAGGGTGCCCTGCGGGAGAAGGGGTGGCATAAGGTTCACCATAAATGGTCACTCCTACTTCAACTTAGTCCTCATAACCAATGTTGGTGGTGCTGGCGATGTACATGCAGTGTCCATCAAAGGGTCGAGGACCGGTTGGCAGTCAATGCCAAGAAACTGGGGACAAAATTGGCAAAGCAACTCTTATCTTAACGGCCAAAGCCTCTCCTTTAAGGTCGTTGCTAGTGATGGCAGAAGTTTAGTATCCTATAACGTTGCACCCCCGAGTTGGTCTTTTGGACAGACCTACACTGGAGGGCAGTTCAATTGAACAGAGTAATAGAGAGTACTCAGATAGTATTATTGTCATGTCGTGAAAGTGTTATACAATTAGTATATGTATTTGGTTTTAACTAATAGGTCACTGGTATTAGTATTGTGACCTGAGAAGGGCATATATGAAAATGCCATTCTTTTTGTTTTCCATTTTACCCTTCTGCTACAGAAGCCAGAAAATAGCAGAGGTGCAGATGGTACCACCAGCCTTCTAATAAAGAATAGTATTACATATATTTTTACTTTAAATCGAAATCAGTTCCTACTTCTAAAGGTGGGCAAATTAGCCGCCAAACTGATCCAAACCGTCAAACCAAATCGACACAATCCGAAAATCTCGATTTGGGATTGGGTTAATAAAAATTGATTTTCAAGAGAACAATCCTTTTGAACCCGACAAACCGAATCAAACCAAACCAAATTGGGTCGATTTGAGACAATTTATTCATATGCCAGCTTGATTTTGGATTGGGTATTAGGGTACCCATCCCGACTCATGCCCACCCCTACCTACTTCAGCTTTGTGCGGGAGGGTTCGTTTTATAGTTGAATTTATACTAGAGAGATGTAAGTTTAAAATTTCACTAGTAATAAAATGGAGTGTTTATTTCTATTTACCATTTGTTTCCTCGATTTCCCCTTTTATTTTTTCATTGTACTCTTAATCTTTACGCGCTCGGCATTCACAAGAATTTCTCTTGTTTATTCATAATGAATCAAATGGAGTGGCGGAAAATAAATTATGATCACATTATTATTAAAGGTACTTGTAGGTTTTGTACTATTATTTATTAATGATGACTGACTATAGTAAATAGGTTTTCTATGCACCAATAATTTGGCTTCATTTTTTCTTCTCAAAAGCTAAGATAAACCAACTTGTGAGAGCAATAAAGAAGCTAACCTAGAGTTCTGATTAGTTCTCACTCCTAAATTCTAATAGAATAAAGTAGTGGGTGCAAAACTGAAAAATATTTGAAGTTTACAAGCAAATGAGGTTGCTACGAGTTCGTTCATATCTCTCGACTATTCGATTAGTTATTGAAAATTCAAGTTCGATATGATGTGTTGAAGCAAATATCCAAAGACATAATCATATAAAATGATTTCTAAGATCACTTTGAACGAAGTGTCGAGTCGATCAAATGATAGAGACCAAACCATAAGGAGGGGGATCACATCAAGAGTCAAGACTAATACTTCTAGAAATATAGTAAGTCTCTTTGATTAAGTCAAAGACAAATCTAATCACTTCAACTAAATAAAAGTAATTTTCAGCCAAAATATAAGAATGGAAACGATAACTACCAACATCTACCACTCTTCCTCAACACGAAATATGTTCCATTATTTACATTTTATACGACGTACACCTTAATGCTCATCACAACTACAAGGAACATGAAACAAAGAGATAAGAAAGATTAGCAGTATGTTTAAGAAGTTATCGTAACTTGATGGTGACGATATTTTAAGTAGAGCACAACATCATAAAGCATACGTGAACTATAAGAATATAGATATATCGATTTAATTTTTCTTTCTTCGTCTATGGAAAGCACGCGTCAATTAAAAGAGCAAAAATATATTGATTTAATATTTCTTACTCCATATATGCTATGTGTGAACTTGTTTCACTCTCATGTCATATGGTATCATCTATGATTAATAACAAAGAAAAGAATATTTATAAATTTAAGATTATTTATTTTTGTGGAAAATGTTGAATTTATCTTACGAGGAAAAAAAAATCACTGAGGGGGTATTTATGTAATTTTCAAAATCTACATAAATCTCCCACAAATTTCAAGAAAATAATAATCCATAATATGTACAGCAAAACCTTAAGCTTCCACTTCAGCGATGATCCTTAACCTTAAAATTCCCATTCCATCCAAAACCTCAAATCCCACAAATACCCTAAAACCCCACCTTTCCCTTCCCGCCACCGTCACCGCCACAGCTGCCGCCGCCGACTCCGGCCTTAATTTCCGGCAGAAACTTATCTACCTCCAATCCCTCAATGTAAGTCCTACAAAAGCCCTCAATGAAAACCCAAATCTTCGTTCTGTTCCACTCTCCACCCTTTACTCCGTTACACACTGCCTCTCCTCCATGGGCTTGGAAGCCTCTGCCCTCGGCCGCGTCTTGGATATGTACCCCTCGCTCCTCACCTCCGACCCATACTCCGACATTTATCCTATTTTCGATTTCTTATTGAATACGGTTGAAATCCCATTTCCTGAGATACGGAAATCCATAATTCGGTGCCCCAGGCTGCTTGTTTCGAATCCGGAAACTCAATTAAAACCTACGTTTGAGTTCTTGACGCAATTGGGTTTCACGGGCCCGAATAAATTAACCTCCCAAACAACATTGTTGTTGGTTTCGAGTGTTGAGTTTACATTATTGCCAAAGATTGAGTATTTAGTGGAATTAGGGTTTGAGTATGATGAGGTTAGGAATATGGTGTTGAGGTCGCCAGGGTTGTTGACATTTAGCGTAGAGAATAACTACAAGCCGAAAGTGGAGTATTTCTTGAATGAAATGGATGGGGATTTGGAGGAAATAAAGAAGTTTCCCCAATACTTCTCGTATAGTTTGGAGCGAAAAATAAAGCCACGCCACCGGATTTTAATGGAGCTTGGGTTTCCGATGCAGTTATCTGATATGTTGAAGGTAAGTGATGGGGAGTTCCGTGCACGGTTGGTTGAGATGCAATTACAGTTGGTGGAGGATAAGCAGTAGTGGTAGTCGTATTTTGTAAGTTTCTCTCATACTTCGTTTTGGGATGAATGGTAGATGAATTTCATGTACGTTAAAGATGTAGACTTTTGGCCTATGGCCAAATGTACATTCTTAGCTGAAATATTAGTTTTTCTTATAAGACATGTACTGACAGCAGATTGATTATCTATCTTTTGTTGCTAACTGTGTTAGTACAATGGCTTGAGATGTGAATTCTGCATTTAGAAATTTTTACTTTAATTGTTTCAGCTCTTATCTACGTAATCATCATAATCTGTGTGTATACTTGTTCATAACCACAAAGGGGCGACTAGCTGGAGAAAGAACCCCAAAAGCAATAATTGCAGTCTTCACACAGCTGATTTCGGGACTGGGATGAATGGATGAAAGATTTGAGTTCCATATAGTCTTTCAAAGCTTCCATTGCACTCATGCCTTTTAGTCCCTTATTCGAAAGTTCTTCTTCGGGTTTTGACAAGAATAAGAGAACATAATCTGTTCATTTCTCAAGGGTCGAGTGCTCACCGTTATATCTAACATTAACTAGTTGAAGAACATATTTAGCATCTAGTATGGATCTTGATATTCTTCTCTTATTGATAACCTTCCGAATTCTGATGGAGAAAGAAATGATGATTAGGCTTTATATGGCAATGACCTTATCTGTCAGTTATGAAGTATTTGCTCGGTGACATATATGCCTGAGAAGCTCTGATTCCATGTTATTTCAAAACAACTTTTCATATAGTTAAAATCGACAATTCCTTCGGAGAACAAATACTTCTTATTAAGGGATATATATCCCACATCGATAAATGATGTTGACACAGACTAATTAATAAAGATATTTGGCTGAATTGGGTTCCATCTTAAAAGGTCAACCTTGTTAAGAGGAGTAGTCAAATATCTTTATTAATTGGTCTGTGTCAACATTATTTATCGATGTGAGATATATATCCCTTAATATTTCTTTCCTTGCATGCTTGACTGACTAAGGCTCATCCCTTTGGAGACGACAAAAGATAGCGCTCATATTTTTGGCGTTAATTAGTATTCCTGTTTTAGAGCAAACAATGTTATAGTTGATATACTAATTCAACTTTGAGGGGTTGCTCAATTGGTCAGGTCTTAGATTTGCTCTTCAATGGTCACCAATTCGAGTACACTCAGGCCACTGAGGTGAGTATACGGTCGTAAACTCCAGGGCACCGTGAGATTAGTTTAGGTGGGCAAGCTAGCCCGGACATCCAAGGTTATTAAAAAAAAAAATAGTTGATATACTAATTCGGTATTTATGACTTCTTTCAATCTTAGTACTCGGTTACTAAAGTTTATTGAGACGCTCTACCACCCAGAAATGACTAAGTTTTGCTGGTAGTATCATGTAGTCCACGTGGTCATGTGCATGAGTTTTACTCGTGGATGTGAGTGGAGTTGGAATCTGTTGGCCACACTTTCGATTAGAAACCGAGGTCAACAACTACTACACGTAAAGGTATCAACTTTTGATATTCCGAATGTGGGTTCAAAGCACTGTCTTTACTATGGGTATGTAAAAGTATTGGTTATGTTTTTCCAATTTGATGAATGCTGTTGTGGTGTTTGTTTGATTGGAATGCTCCTTTTAACTAGTTGATGAACAAATTGTAGCAGTCAATTTATAGACATGCAAATCCATTCTTTGAAATTCTGAATCTCTGCCACTTTATTTATCAGAATGAAAAAAAGTAAGCAATAAGTTCCAATTCCATTAATTCATAACACAAATACACAACAGAAAGGATCAAAGGACAATGAGTCACTATTTGATAGAAATTATTAGTTTACTGTTAAAAAGTCAAATTTGAGTAAAATAATTATTGTAACTTTAGCTTGATTTTAACAAATTCATAAATAAAATAAAATAAAAGTAACAAAAAAATAAAAAAGAGAGAAAAAAAATCAAGAACAAAAATAAAGAAATTAAAAATAGGAATAATAAAAATTAAAACACACCCAACCCCCCACATCCAAACCCAATCCAACCCAACCCAACCCACTTCATCCTAATCCACTCCCACTAGAATGGGTGGGGCAAGGGGGAGAGAAAGGTGAAATATTTTTCAATTCTTTTTTTATGTATATATGTATTTAATTCTTTTAAGTGAAACATATTTTTTTAAAAATTAAGGGACTTCATTTGCAATATATTCTAATTTTATTTGTTGTTTTATTGCTTTCTTTTATTTTTGTTTAGAAGGGTAAATCTGTATTTAATGATCAAAATGGATAGAAATACAAGTTTTGCTACATAATGGAAAGTTAAAGAATGGATTGTGAGATTGAAAGCACATTTGTTATATTTTCTAAAGATTGAGGATGAAAAGTGAAAATTTTCATAATAAATAATAACCACTCCACTCAAAATTCCCAAAGAAGGCAATGCTCTTTCTCCCATTCCTCTCTTCAGCAATTTACATCGAAATTTCAAAACTAAGCTGGACTGATCTTCGAACAATTCTCCTAGTAGATTCATTTTATTCAGAAAAACCCAACAAAGTTAACCATTTTGTCAATCAATGCATTAGCACTTGTTAACAATCTGTTTGATTAAATGACACAAAGAACAATTTACTGAATGTTGCCTGGATTTCAGATTCCTAAGCATTTTTCTGGGTTCAAGCATTGTTGATGCGTTCATGGCTATGCATAGTTTTACTGCTGGATTCAAATTCAAGACTTGTGAATTCTTTGGGTCTGATTTTTGTAACTTCATTAATGATCATCCATTTAACACTATAAGTGAGTATACTAATCATTTCTTTCCTCTTTTTATCTTCAAAACTAATATTTTTCTTCAAGTATGAGTTTAATGCCAATGTACACCGTGGAGTTTCATAATAGAAAACTGGCTTGAACACTCAAGTATTTAGACGGGATGGTTCAACGTGGTATCAGAGTTGATGAAAGACCTGATTTCTAGTCCTCGCCTCTCATTTTATAAAGATATTGCACTTATAAGACATTAAAAAGGTTCGGTGTGCATATGATGGGAAGTTAGTGAAATTAGCACCTCATAACAAGGCACTTCAATACAATCTTGGCGTTTAATTTTGGCTGATTAAAGTTGTATGCTTTGTCTAAATTTAGTTATGAAACCACTGACGATTGAAGCAAAAGCTAATACTAGGACAGAGAGTGCGAAAATTCGGAATAGAAGACTGAGGAAGAAGATAACACCTTTTTATCATTGCAAGAAAATTTATTTTCTGATGCTTGAAAAAGTTGTTTATCGACATCCTTGGTTAAGTCATTTTTTCGATGATTTACAGATGTATATTCGATCTGCATTGACATATCAGAGCCATTGAACTTGACCAGTTTAATGGGAAGCCTATAAAATTGAGGCTTTCAGTGTTTTGTTCAGAAAAACAGTTGTATGCTATGCTGGTAGATGATCAAAATAAGAAGTGCTTGTTTTATGGAAGCACTCTGCAGAAATCAATTCGAGAGGACCCGACTTGCACTCCTGTTGTAAGTATTCTGTTTCGGATCTTTAAGCCATGATTCCATTTCTTGTTCTTTTGCTTCTCAATTTTATGAACTTGTAATCTTCTAATTATGGATATAAGTAAAATCAATCTTAGGAAGCAGCTCAACGTGTGGTGAAGTGCTTGTCAAGACTCGCATGGATCTCAACATTATGAAGTTTCTTGTTATGATTGCAATGGTTTTGCTCATGGAGAACGAATGCAGGCTTTTGACATCGCCATTAGTCCTTGGATTCTTGCCACAATAGATTTTGCACTTGATTTGATGAAAACTTACTAGAAATGTTGGAGATCCAATGCTCGCATTGTACTATAAATATACACGAAGAGTGAATCTTTTAGTTTCTATACTTGATTTAATTTTTTGGTTGTCAAATTTTATGGTCTTGGTATGTTCATTTCGTAGCTTCTTCCTTCATCAATGAGCTATCATGTGATCAGCATTGCAGGTATGAATTAGTGAGGAATACTAACCCGAGCCTGTGCCCGAGCCAATATCATATGTATGTCTGCTTTGAGAGTGCATTTGTCCATCTTATCCTTCATGGATTCTATCGCATCCCCAAGAGGCTCGCCCAAAGCGGAAAAGCTTTGGGTAAGTAAGTATAGTATAATGGCTTAAACACAGGCCCCTGGTTGTTACTGATAGCACAAAATTTTTAATGAGGAAACCATCTCTTTTTCTGCACAAAAAATAGAATGTAATAAACCATGGCTATTGTTCAGCAAGGTCAATTTGATGGCTCTATACAAAGGCTCTTTCCTCAAAATATTATAAAAATCCCTCGTTGCCATCCAAATTGGACAGCATAACAATTCCTAGTAACTATACTGCCAATATGCATGTTACTGAGTAATCTCTTACATACATAACCTAGTGAATTCTTCTACAAGCGTGGCATTAATCGACCTCCTTTTTTTCTTTGTTTCACGTATTCTGGATCTTTAATATATAGCGTTAATCACCGCAACATTCTGCACTCTGTTTCTCTTGAATCTTTTGCCACAGACAGAGCATCTCTCGGGGACCTTGGTAGTGAGCAACAACATAACTGTTCTTGCAACCCTCGTTAAAAATCCGGTCATCACTCTTGTACGTGATGTTTAAGCCTTTCTTCTTCATATCTGCAATCCAGATTCCCATAGCAACGTCTTCTAGCTTGAACATCTGCCGGAATGAGTTGTAACATAATCAGAATAACAGTTATAGAGAGAATATTTGCAAAGCTGCATTTTACCTTTAGGCGTCCTTTTCTCTGCTTCCTGTAAATTGCCTTTGCTATATCACTTGACACAACATAACCCGGACCATGCGCCCAAGGAGGGTAAGTGTCTTCAGGCCATTCCTTAAAATGATTTTTGGATAAACAGGGAGTGAGATTCATCACATGCGTTAAAACACACCATTATTATGAATTTGTGTGATAAAGAAATCGACCAATAGCACCAGTTTTGTACATTTACAACCTATAAACATGCCAATTATTTCGAATTTCCCATCCTCCCACTCCAAATATATAGCAGGTCCAGGAAAAAGAAAACATGTTATTTTGGTGGGGGAGGGGGTTTTCGGACGCTGAGCCCAAAAGAATTCAGGTCAGTCTAGTTGTTCAGATTACTTCGAACCTTGAAAATTTCTCAACTCAAGAGCGAACCCTAAGTAACCTAACTATTTGATATCCCAACATGTAGTGTTAAAGTCTCAGAGAAGTTAAAGTTGAGGTAATAATATAGAAACTTCATCAAATTCACTTGGTGGCTCAAATACACGACCTTTTTTACTCTTGTATCATCATTTTCCTTTTTGTTTCGACCACAATATTTATTGGAATAAGTCTAGTTTTTAGTGCTGTGAACTTCTTGTAAATTGTGAATGTGGAAGTTGTTTGGGCATGACAATGTAAAAAATTCCTTATTATATTCTCTAATTTTGAAATGCATGACAATTTATTGATATTTCTCCTGTGATATTCTGATTTTCAATCCCTTACTGTGGCTACTAAATTATTTATTTATTATTATTTTATTTTTTTTGCGACTGAGGCAGGGTGTTAAATTTCAATAACTATAGTAAATAATTAATGAAGTGACAAAATGAAGTGACGGATTACCTCAAGACTAATATGCCACTTGCTCTCTGGATCCCGGTGGGGGTGGGAATCTGAATTGATAAGACCATAGAGCAAACCACGGGTAGTACTGATCCTTTGTAAAGAAAGCAAGACTTCATCAACACGAACAAATGCATCATCATCTGTTTTCATGACAAATTTTGCGGAAATGACCTGCGTCTGTGAAGATATGATGGTAATCAGCTACATGGGAGGAGTACTACACGAGTTATGAACGGAACAGAACTTTACCCCAAAGATACAGATGGCTATGGTTTTCCATGTAATAAGGCTGTAGTAGTCAACGAACGGCATCAGCTGGATGTCTCCGTATGTCAGTGCCTCGTTCCAGAGCTCCTCATTCACCATTTGGTTTTTATGCTACAGGTCACAGATTACATTTCAATTATCTTTACAAACAAACGACTTGGCAAGTTGAATCAACTTCGTAGGAATGATGTAAATTGATTTAGTTTTCACAAAAAAAGTTTAAGAAAATAAAATAAAACTACAAGGAAATGAGTATTAAAACTCCAAGGAAATGAGTATTCTCATAGTTTTGTCACAAGAGCATAGTTACAGGAATTTATTATTATTATTATTATTATTATTTTTTGTGAATGCACAAGAAAGCATGTTTATACACCGCATTGGTTCATAACATCCCAGTAAAAAAATATGATTAGATAAAAAGAAGTCACGCTTACCAGACCAACAAAGAAACGAACTGCAACTTGTCCTGACCGGACTGCATCATACTGCATCCATGATCTTCGAACTGCCATTCTACGCTTGAAGTTGTTGGTAGTAGAGAACACACCAATAAAGAGTTCCAGTGGTCTTTTTGGAGGAAGTGGGATCGCTTTAAGAGCTTCCAAGTCAATTATATGCTCTAGATCCTCTGATGTTGGTAAGCCACTAGCGACAACGGAAATTAAATTTATATCTCCTGAAATCCTTATTTCACTAACAAGCCATGGCTCCAAA